TATGTCCTAAATTTCCCATACATGTACATGTACTTTGTGAGAGAATTTGCTCAACTTTGTATTTCCATTGAATTATGTAATCTGTGCTATTTTGTCACACTAGTGTCTGAGCAACCGGATTTAAGTAAGTGTTTATATTGGTTGCAGTAMTTCATATCAACTGTGAAAGACTTTAATTACATATTCATGCAATCAACATTAAAGCAACATACATTTTTCTATTAAAAATTTCACTTAAAGTCATCTCCCAAAATGTCTTAATTACTTTAGAGTGTATTGTRCAACATCCTAGATTAACATATGTAAATCAGGAATATTATTCTAACCTAATATATTCAAATACATGTAGCTATTGTACATATTTGAATGGCTGTGTGCTCACAGACATGGTCCATTGAACACAAAGAAGTTTACCAAGCAATGACGTAATAGTTTAATGATTATRTAGGACCTCTGACCTGATCACATGATCTCTGAGTTCTTCATGCTTCCATAATTGGGCAATAGCATGTWGCTAGCTTTCCAAATCAATTTGTTGTCTGTACAAATGTGATAAATCCAAGCAGTTTTCATTGAAATGCTCTCATCCTAACACCAGTAAGTAACATGGACCAATTCTAAGTGATTTCTTGTTGTTTTAGAGATGTAAAATCTCCTAAGTGAAGACAAATTTCATTTTGAACTGCTGCCAAATTGAGTGTTACCTTCCTGAGTCATTTGCTGTGGTTTTATTGCATTTGAATGTGTTTGAATTCTGTTTAACTTGAATCAAATTATTCCTGAAGRAACTTTATATGTACATGTAGTTGATTTATAAACATACTGAGTGTAACATAATCTTGTGTGAWTTGCAAAGTCATGCAACAGTTGAATGACTGGCTTTAGGGCTGAGTTTCCTAACTTCATACAGTACATAACTGTTTTGATTGCTTGTAGAAAAGCATCTTTATTTCAAACATCTGATTCCTTCTTGTAATTAAATATGTTGAACAAGAAGCCAAATTCTCAAAAAGTTAAATTGAAATAATTGTATACACAAAGATTATGATTATCATTGTAAAACATGGAAATAATTGCTGTTTGCTAAGCATTTGTGCATGTTATGCTGGAATGTGTGTTTTGCTTTTGATAAAAGCTTGATGCCTTGTAGATCATGCAACTCAATGCATAGTTGAAAGACTTTGTATGTATAACAGTTATTAATTGATCTCTTTCTGGTTAAAACTCAATATCATTTAATATAGAAATACTGCATAAGGATAGCTTGAATATAAAGTTAGTTTGAATTCCCTGATTAAAATAGCATGATTTACAATTAATAATCCTAAAGTAATTATTTTATAATAACATTTAATTAAATTATATTATATTCATGGTCAGTCAGCTGTATCATTACTTTGATTTCTTCCTGATGTTTACAATCTAAGTGATGTAAAATAAATCAAGTTAACATGTATAATAATTATCTTCTAATCACTGTAGTTATCTCACTGTTATTCTATCTAATTCTTTACATAAATCTTAATTTAATTATAAGTTTAGTTCCTTTGAATTTTTCTTTAGTAATTTGTTGTTAGGGTCAATGACTTGAAAAGTTAATTATTACAAAATTGTAATTATGTGAGTTCTTTTTGTTTTCTATTGTTTAATCAATACTTTTTAGTAGTAATTATTAATATGTTTTCACTAAAACATTAGAGTGCTTTTATTAAAAGTGTCAAGAATTAGTAATACTATTTTGTATTATTTTATTCTAATTTTGTTTTCACTATTTTGTACAATTTAGCAATACATGTAAATGTTTCTTGCATTTACTGAAAGCATTCTCAATATATTTACAACTAGTTTTATTTCATTATCAAATGCAAACGAAAAGCAATATTACAGTCTACTAAAACTTAGATTATGATATGGTAACAAGATATTTTTTGTTATTTTTCAGTGAAACGAAAAAAGAATAAAMGATTCAAGGACTTTGACAAGAAGCCTGAGAGTGATCTCATGGACGCTTACCGTGAAGCTCCAGTCAAACCAGAACC